CCGGGTGACACCCAGCCTTGGGACGCCCCTGGCGAAAAAAATATACTATACTATCCAGGAGGAGCATTGGGTTCCTTATCCTTACTGCGGAAAGGAGAATGCTACTATCCACCACTACACCTTGAAGGGGGAAAAACAAACAAAAAAACCCCACTATCTGACCATTTTTATTAGATCTTTTTATGTATTAGATGAAGCACTTTTATACTATCACCAATCAGTGGAAAGTTGTTGAGCACTTTGTTGATACCACTTTTATTGGCTGTTAGAGCACTGTTAATTGTGCTTCTTTCACTGGGTGCATGCTGGATTTATGTAGTGAGGTGTCAGTCAATAAACCAGTAAATATATACAAAGTATAGTAACTTTTCAGCACAGAGCACTTCACTGGATACATGGTGGATGAAGTGAGGTATTTATATGTATTAGTCTATTGTTAGTGCAGTGCACTGGGATATTGTTTAGTGTTTTTCACTATTTGCAGTTGCTCCGATAGCGATTTGGATTAGGAAGTAGCACGGATATTCTTCCAGTTAATTATATTTTAAGGAAAAGGACAGAAGCCCACGTATGTTGCCCATCAGGGGTTTCTTTTTAAATCCTCAGCCCAGGAGTCAAAGTAGCGGCCTGTGAACCTGTACCATGCAGCCTGCTGACAAAGACAGACACACAGTCACGGACCGTGTACCTGAATTGGGGGAGCAGCTACACAGTCTGCATCTGTCTGACGCAGACCATATATTCTGCTCCTGTCAGTGTGAGTCAGAGCAGTGTCTGACTAACAGAGCAGTGTGTCACTTTTACCAAGTGCTGCCCGAAAAGGATTAGTAAGGTCTGCACCAGACAGAAGTGCAGACTGTATGAATGCCCCCACTGGACCACCAGGGAATCGGTTTCCTCCCTGCAAAAAAAAAAAATGTAAGCAGGTGAAGGGGCTGTTTCTTATTTAAAAAAGGGGTGTTCGATCTATTTATCAAGAACTGAGCGATTATATATACCACCAATGGCTCAGTCCCGGATCATCTACCTGCAGAGAGCGGCGATTTAAGTCAGCTCTCCCCACAGGGATTCCCCTCTCCATTCCTCCAGCACTGACTGGAGGATCGGACTGAGGAGAGGGCAGGCACAGCTGGCAGGGTGGATCCCAACAATATTGTAAAGGTGCCCACACACTGTACGATTCTCTTACGAGAATCGTGGGAAATCCCACGATCGTACAGTGTATGGAAGGCGTGCAACCGTTTCTACTGTACGGTCGCACGTCTTCCGTCGAACAAGCAGGCTTGAAAACCCGCCGAGAATCGTACGATTCTCGGCGGGTTAGTGGCCTGCTTGTTCGACAACTGCCGAACGGGCCGGTGTGTGCACACTGCCCGTTTGCAGTGATCGGAAGCCCGCCCCTCACTGCGGTCATCGGAAGCCCGCCCCTCAGCGGGGCGGGCTTTCGATGATCGCAAGTACGATCTGCCCGTCCAAGGTGGGCAGATCGTACGAGCTTTCAATGAGCTTACGACCATCGCAAGACAAAGGTCTTGCGATGGTCGTAAGGTGTATGGGCACCTTTTGGATCCGTCCCAGGTGCAGTGCAGCTCTGCGCTGTCAACATATAGTGGGCAAAGCCCACTATGTACAGAGTTTTGGGTCACAGCAGGACATAGTAAAATGTCCTGCTGTGACCCTAAAAGAGAACTTTGGCCCCAAAAAAAGTTTGAGTCATAATTCTTTTAAAATTAAAAAAACACATACCATACAGCACAAAAAATATTTACCAACATTGCATACAAAGAAACCATCACAAACACACATATTTATACGCACATGCAGACATTAGCAGGAGAACCGTATATAGTTCCATTTTGTTTTGAAGCATTAATTTATGAAATGTGGCAAGTGGCCCCCATGGGAAAAGAAAATTTGTGAGTGATTTTGGTTTAAGACCCCTGCTCTAGCCTGTCTTGCATCATCTCAGAAAGGAAAAGCAAGGAATGATCCAATGAAGCTCACAGTACGTCTTGGTTTTAAAGTTGTTTGGTTATGTAATGCTCAAGCCATATAGTCCTCTAAACAGTGAACAATCTTATTTTAAATGAAGTTACAAAACAGCACTTTACCCATTAGATTACAGATTTTGGTTTAATGTGGTGTAATTGGTATTCTTTTCATCGTGGGATGTAGAGCTGCAGCTAACGATTATTTTCAAAATCGATTAGTTAGCCGATTATTAAGTTCGATTAATCGGTTAATCGGATAAACTATAAAATAAAGTTTAAAAAATGGCTCCAGTGATAGGACTACTAGTTTGTATTGAGGTTGTAGTCCATCACAGGAGCAAGCTTGGAGCGGTGGAAGTAAAAAAGAAAAAAAGATAGTGTGGTGTGCAATATAGTGAAATGGAAAGTGTAAAATTATACAGCAATACATGCAGAATGGCAACGGCTATAGAGGAATACAACAAATCCCAGCAATAGTACATAATAGTTGGTGGTATTCTGCATTGCGCTGTATAATGTATTATTGCTGGGACTTGTAGTCCTCTATACAGCGCAATGCAGAATATCACCAGCTATAGAGGAGTACAACAAATCCCAGCAATACATTATACATACAGCGTACAATGTATTGCTGGGATTTGTATTCCTCTATAGCTGATGGTACAGGTTCATGCTCTGTATAATATACAGTACAGCAGAATGTACCATCAGCTATAGAGGACGACAAATCCCAGCAATACATTTATAGAGCACCATGTGGGGGGGGGAGTGTAGGCTTACCTGAGCAGTCTTCCAGCAACGTGCTTCTGCGATCGGACCTGTCTATCAGCAGCTGTCATCCCCCACACCTGCTCCTCCTTACTACTTCTCCCCGTGTCCCTGTGCCGATCATGGATGTGGATGGGCAGGAAATGTGAGGCGGGGAGGAGGTGCGGCGTGTGGAGCGTGGATGCGAGCGGGTCTGGCAGTGGCGAGCGTGAGGTGGGGAGAAGGTGCGGCGCACAGCGTGTGGAGCTGTAAACAGGGCCAGCTGATCGGAAGCCGATTAATCGATTGGAAAAGTTGACAACTTTTTCAATAATCGATTATAATCGATTATGTCGATTAGTTGTTGCAGCCCTAGTGGGATGCTATAGCTCCTTTTAGTGGTGTTTGCACCAGTAAAACTTAGTTACATTAAATAAAAACAGAAATCTCAATATACACAATAGAAAGATTTATTCTGAAGTCAACATTGCAAGTCATGTTACTTTGCCTTCTGGCTCTGTGCTTGGGCCTTCAGTACTTTTACAACAATCTTCTGTTCTTCAATGAGGAATGCCCGCTTAATTCTGTAAATGAAAGATAGCATTGTAAATCAAACGCTAGATTCTAAATATTTATAACCGCAACTACACATTTAACACAATCTAAATAGCCAAGTTATCCCCAAACCATGGTATCCACCATGCCCACTTGTTAAGTGCTATCCAGATATCTGCAAGGTTATGCACAAAAGGGTGAAGAGTTTGGAGAAGGCAGGAGAAGTGAACAATCTAGGACAACATAGCTGATTTGGAAGGTGAGCTGATTTGGAAGGTGAGCTGAATTGGAGAATTTTTCCAAATGCACCGATACTAGTATCGGTGTAGATACAGAGTATTTGGGCAGGTACTTTTACTCGCCCAAATGCTCCGATATCAGAACTTCTGGTAAGAAGAACATGGAGCCAGCTTCCAGTGCTATCAGGAAGCTGGGCGGTGAATAATGACCCGCCTCCCTGATTGGCCAGGAAGCCAGCTCCATGCCGATTGGCTGGGAAGCCGGTTTCCCGACCACGCACAATCAAGCCAGCCAGAAAACATGGAGCCAGCTCCTCGGCAATCAGACTGCCAAGGAAGCCGGCTTCATGCCAGCGGAAGCACCGGTATCGGAACTCTTACTCGATACTGAAAAACCGGTATCGGTGCATCCCTAGATATTAGGATAGTAACAGACCTAAGACTGCTGCTGGGTGCCACCATATTCGTTGTGACATCAGCAGCACTAGACAAAATCAAAGGAACAGATTGTTCCAGCTGTCAAACACTCTGTAGTATTCCCCTGCTATGAATTAGGAATAAAGCTCACTGAACAGCCTCTAATCTATTGGATGACAGGAAAGAGGCTTATAGTAGAAGCTTCTGCACAGACCACTGAATAAAGGCACCTTCTTCACTCTGCACATATTACAATCAGTGCCTACTTTATTTACATTTCTGTGCTGAGACACTTGTTTAATGGGTGCACAGACTGATCCTGCCAAAATTCCTGATTTTCTTTTTTTTAACAGTTGTACAGGCTACTACCATCTTCCTACATAGCAGCAGGTGGAGGAAGCGACACTTCCAGAAAGATTCCTACTAAAGTTACACAGGTCGCAATCCTTAAGGCCCGGTTCACACCTGGGCGTTTTGTAGCGTGTCCAAACGCTTTGCAAAGCGCTCAAACACCGAAATCCCATTATTTCCTATGGGTATGGTTCACACCTGGGCGTATTACAGGCCGTATGAACGCGCTACAAAACATCCTACGCCCAAAGTACAGGAGCTTCTTTGGGGCGTTTTTGTTGCGCGTTTCCATTGGGATACAGCCAAGTAGCCCTCGGAAACGTGCGTTTGTCACACATTTTTACCGCGAATTGCGGTAAAAACGCATCACAAAACGCGCATATTCGATACGCCTAGGTGTGAACCCAGCCTACAAGCTGAAGTGACACATGCAAGAGCTTACCCTCTACTGCTACAACGTTTTTATTTAAAAAAAAGAGATCTGATGACTGGGTCTCTTAAAGTGACCCTAAACTGAGGAGTTGAATCATAAAAAAACGACATTAACGACAATGTATCTTATCTGTATCACTCAGCTGTACATCCACATATCTCTGAATTGGTGCTGACACTGTCCTTTTGTCTGGAGGGCGGCTACTTTTGTTCCCCATGATCCCTGTGTGTGCTGTAAAGTAGTCACTGCTCCAAGCTCACTCCTGTGATGGACTACAATCTTATGTTTAGTCTACTAATTTGTATTCAGACTGTAATCCATCAGAGGAGCAAGCTTTGAGCTGTGGCTACTTTACATTAGCATTACTGGGTGCCCAACTTCCAATCACTAAATCAATCCAATCAAGCATTAGTACTGCCACAAGATAGAAAGTCAAATGATTTCAATCACACCCAAAAGGTACCAGATATTCTACCCTGACACACTGGCAAGGGAGATAATTGAAGAAAAATATGGAGGAGCTAGTAAGTCCAATATCAAAGCCAAATATGCAACACTCAATTTCTTAGAAAAGAAAGCATGAAGACCAATGTAACACTGGCGATTGCTACTTTCCTAATGGGTGTCACTCCCTCGCTTGTCACAACACTGCAGAATTCCATTTACAAGCAAGAGATTAGCAACATTTGGTTATTTTGTTATACCATAGGGGAAAGTAAGCCGACTTGGCGAGCCATTAGTGTGACAAAGCCCTAAATCACCCAACACCAATGAGATGTCTCAGAACCTTTATTAGCAGTGGAACTTCCAATTCTGCCAATGAAACTAGTTTCCATTTATTACAAACAGCCTAACTTAACCGCTGGACATTTCACCGATCCTACTACACCAGGCATCCTGCACAATTTAGGGGGATGGGGTGTCATGAGTATATGGAACCGCACATAACCTCCACGTAGAAAATGATTGGGCGGCTTTAGAGACACCTGGATCACTTCCACATTATAGATGGGAAATGGCTGTACAATTTTAAAACTAGCTTGTGAGAAATAGAAAAAAAAACCAATAATACACAGCAAAATTAAGTAAATGCAGTATAGTATGCATATAGTAGTACCTGATAAAACCTATATTATAAAAGATACCTACCACAGCCACTCCAAATGCTAAGATACCCAGTCCCTATTTTCCAACAACCTGTGCCTTAGCAACTGACTAAAATTGGGTATTATTACATTGAGGAATGCCAAAGCCCAAACAAAAAACAGGCTTTCAGAAAACTGCCATTTACAAAATCATTTGTAGTGATTACTTTTTTTTCTTATACTACAATTCAGTGCAAATTATCTAAATTGTCTGTACAGTTACCCTTTAAAACAGGGGTAGGCAACCTCTGCACTCCAGCTATGGTTAAACTACCTATGAGGCACTGCAACTCTGAGAGCCACATCATGACTCCAAGAGGTAAAAATGAATTGTAGTTTCAAACACAACTGGGAGTGCCAAGGTTTCCCATCCCTCAAAATAGAAAACAATATGATGAAATAAAAACAAGTTGAATTTAAACACCTCCATTATTTGTTTTTTCCACAAAAAAAGAAAGCCTTTAACCCCTTTGTGACTGACGACGTACAGTGTACGTCGCCAGCATCGGGGCTGTTTAAACAGACTCCCGGCGACTTTTGCCGCCGGGACTCTGTTTAAACTTGTAGAGCCGACTGTCGGCTTTACAACAGAAGCGATCCTGGCGACTTACCTGTCGCCAGATCGCTTCTGCGTCCCGAAGAAGGGGCCCCCCCCCCCGCCGGACACCCCCGCCGTGCTTCCCGGGCTCCGTTGCCCCTCCTACGGGCCCGGGACCGGCGATCTTTGTGTCCGCGGGGAGCTGGGGAGGAGGTCGACGAACTTCCGTTCATCGATCCCCTCCCCGTTCTATGGGACCGGGAGCGATGCAGATTGCATCACTTCCGGTCCCTGGGCTGTCAGTTCTGGGCTCCTGCAGCCCAGCTATAAGCTATTGAAGTGCGATCTGCACTTCAATAGCTTATTTCCAGTGTAAAGGTGACACTGAGGGTCTTTTGGACCCCCAGCATCACCTTAAAGAGGACCTGTCACCACCATCTGCTATTACATGGGGGGGCTTGCAAGCCCCCCCATGTGATAGCAGTCAAAGTAAAGTAAAAAAAAAAAAAAAAACAGTTTTTAAAATTAAAATGAAATAAAATAAATCTAATAATAATAAAAAAAAAATTTTAAAAGTACCCCGCCCCCGCGAAGTACCCCGCCCCCGCGTAAACACGCGTCGGGTGCGCCTACGCATGAAAACGACGAACGCGCTACACATGTTGGGTATCGCCGCGCACGCCGGAGTGAGAGCAATAATTCTAGGGCCAGTATTTTGGGGTATCTCTAAATTGATGACCTGTGGGGGCTTTTAAAGTGTCTTTTATTGATTTTTTGGGGTACTGCAGTTTTTCGCCGTTTCACGGTCGCACGCAATCTGTAAACTGGGCATGTTGGGTATCGTTTTACTCGTTGTAACCTCATCTTTTATATTTCATTAAAAAAATGGGTAATTTGTTGTGTTTTGGGGCATTTAATTAAATTTGTCACTAAATTTTGGGGTTTAATAAGGAGTTGCGCTAATATTGCGCAACATAAAAATTTTCAACTACCACCATTTTATTCTATAGGGTCTTGGCATTCAGAAAATATATAATGTTGGGGGGTTTTACGTCATTTTCAGGCCTAAAATGTGGAATATAACATGGGTGCAAAAATGGAAAAAAGGGCCTCAGTCATGAAGGGGTTAAGCAAAATTTTACAATGCTGTTCCCATTCTAAGAATGCTATTACGTCATAATGGTTCTTGAGAACAGTCCCCAGAAGCACTGATGGTGGTTGCCAAGATTAATCTGCTGCACTGAACGCATATCAGCTAAATGGGTACCACTCAGCATCAATAGTGTTCATAAAATAAAAGGATAACATTATACTAAATGTGCCTTCCACCTAAAGTCAGATTGCAGATTTTCTGCCCTCACCAGAAACCCGTTCAACCAAAATCCCATTACAAATCTAAAATCCATAGACCCTGTAAAATGAAGTTGTGCCAATATGCTACATAAAAAATAGCAACACCTCTATGAGATAGCATACTGGTGGTAACAGGTTCTCTTAGACCCCTAATGTCACCTTTGCAGCCCACTGAAGCTGATAAAAGCATGATCTGTGGGCTGCAAAGGTGACATTAAGGGTCCAATAGCCCCCTAATGTCACCTTAAAGAGAACCTGCCACCACCAGTATCCCATCTCATAGATGTATTGCAATTTTTTTATGTAGTATATTCCCTGGCTTCTCTAGCTGGGGAATGACAGTGAAATCCATCACTTCTGGTTTCATTCAGCAGGGAGGAGATCGGCGAACAGACGTACACTGGTCTCTCTCTCCCTGCTACCCATGGCACCGGAGAGGCAGCAGAGCCTGGGAAGCTGAATGAGGGGTGTCAGGTGGGAGGGAAAACCTGTTCACCAGCCCCTGGAAGCAAATCAAGCAGTTTTACAGCCTCCCAAATTGTTTCCAATGTAAAGCTGACAGTTGGTTTTACATGGGTAAAGACAGCCACCGGAGTCTGTTTACAGAGGCTGGCTGCTGCCAACATATGACATACATGGGTGGCAGCAAAAAAAGAGAGTTAATGGATTCTCTATACCGCACAATTAGGAGAGTCCAGCTACAAGGGTTGCCAAATCCATTGTTGCCCTTTAGGAGGGGCGATTTCTATTATACAATGGAAACAAGAGGCAAGTGATTTAACCTACCAGTGACGAGTTAGAGAACTATGGGGTCAGTGTTTTCCCCCATAGTTCTCCTAAGCTCAGTATACCGCGAGCTACAACTCGCGGCATACTGAGACGCCGCAGCTGGAGCGGATCCCGACATTTGATCCCACCTTTGGGTGGAGTTAGTATTTATGTCAACATGTGCATGTTTGAAAACAAAAAAGGTTTGATACACAGTGCAGGGATAGAGCTGTACCTATACCAAAGCTGTTCATAAAAACAAAACAAAATCGTCATCCCTACATTAGAGCCAAACGCCTTTTATTTCAACCTACAAAGACCAATCTGAGCTGACCTAGCAGCAACTTCAAAATTGTAAGTTTAGAGGAAACCCATTACATTAGAGCAGTCTATGTAGCATTTCAGGAACAGCTAAAAAGTTCCATTCATAATGGTATTAACCCCTTAAGGACAAAGGCTTTTTTTTCCATGTTATAGTCAACATTTTAGGCCTGAAATTTACCTAAAACCCCCCAAACATTATATATTTTCTGAAAGCCAAGACCCTGTAGAATAAAATGATGGCAGTTGCAGATAGCTATGTTGCAAGACATTAGTGCAACCTATTATCAAACCCCAACATTTAGTGAAAAATGTGCTTAAGTTAAATTTAGTGTCCCAAAACACTATATAAAACTTTTTTTTTGTAAAATATAAAAGATGGGTTACAACGAGTAATAAGATACCCAAAATTGTGTGCGTCCCTGAAACTGCAACAGAATTCAGAACCCCTTAGAGTCCATACATAACCCTTTAAAAGCCCCTACAGGTCATCAGTTTAGAGATTCGCGTAAATATTGCTCTCACTCCGGCGTGCGTGGTGATACCAAACATGTGTAGCTCAATAGTCGTTTTCATATGTAGGCACACCAGACACGTGTTTACGTGACAACACGCCTGCTGGTAGGGGCAGGGGGACTTAAAAAAAATATGTAAATTGTTTTTACATTTAAATTTTACTTTAATTGCGAACACATAGGGGGGCTTACAAGCTCCCCATGTGATAGCATATTGGTGGTGACAGGTTCTCTAAGGTGATTCTTGGGAGTCTTAAAGACCTAGTATTACCTTTACACTTTAAATAAGCTATTCAAGTGCAGATCGCACTTCAATAGCTTATTGCTGGGCTTCAGGAGCCGAACAATGACCTCTCAGGGACCAGAAAGTGATGCAATACGCGTCGCTCCTGAAGTACGGGGAGGAGATCGATGAACAGACCGTCACCGCTCTCCAACCCCAGCTTCCCACCAACACCTGAGATGCTGGCCTTGGGCCTGTTGGTGGTGGTGGGGGCAGCAGGGCCCGGGAAACACAGCAGGAGTGTCGGCATCCACTTTACCGGATTGTAGTAGCGATCTGGCAGCAGCTAAGCCGCCGGAATCGCTTCTACTGTAAAACCGGCCCTACAAATTTGAACAGAACCGGGAGTCTGTTTAACCCCTTGAGGGTTAAACAGTAGATTTTTGAGGCATGCTTCATCTGCACTGCATGAAAAATCCAACTTCTTTCTGTGCATTACTTATGTTTAAAACTACTGGACTTGGAACAATTACTAATGCTGGCTGCACACAACAAACGTCTGCTGAAACTTACTGTAAAATGATCAGACATGTATGCAAACGTGGCAACAATACTTAAAATTCTGGGACAAAAAAAAACTAATGCTCCAAGTCAAAAGGCTTTGACATTTCTAACTTACAATATTAGCCCATAAAGCCCACGAGCCATCAAACAGCAGCATATTTTTTTTGCAGATAAATTGTTAATTTTACAGAATGTATTTCCCCCCCAAACCATTAGAGTTTCACTACAATCCAAGTGAGCACATTAGTAAACCAGAGCTCTGCCTTACCTGTCACGAACACATTTAGCACACATGGATCCACCATAAGCTCTGCTGACGTGCTTTTTGGTTTTTGAAAGCCTCATAAGCACCTTAGGTCTGACTGCTCGGATCTGTAGAAACATTAGAAACTAGTTGATGGAACATTCCAACTTTACCACTGAAATCAATGTAAACATTTAAACATTTTCCAGAACTGGATTTTGCCATCAGCGTACAATAAATTAACCTAAATTGTGCAAACATTCTAGGTGTTGCCATATATTTTTATGCACTTTTCAGAGTAGGCAAAATGCATGGGCATGAGAAAAATCAAGTGATGCCAATAGGCTGTGCTGGTGTAAAAAGTCCAACTAAAAGGTTTAGAAAAGAATGTATGATGCATAGTAGTAAATAAAAACATGCTTTTATGTGCATATAAATTCAGGTAGTCAAAGAAATATGCAACCTGACTGTCATCCCTTATTCTGAGCAGCTACATCAAAAGTAATCCCATTGCAACCAAATAAACATAGTAGGGATTAGCGATGTCCCGATACTGATACTAGTAGGGGCCGATACAGGGCATTTTCACACGTACTCGTGAAAATGCCCCAATACTTAAGGCCGGCACTTTAAATCAGGTCGGCTGCCTCAGGTCCCACGCTTGTGGGGTCCTGAAGCAGCCTTCAGGGGACCCGACAGTAGCTGTCTTTGACACTGCCTGCCAGGTCCCACATGCCCTCCTCCTACATCCTGGCGCTGGCACTGCTCGAGGCAGCTCCACACAGTGAATACAGCCTCGGAGGGGGCACGTGACCGGCACCCACTCCGTTCGGCAATCACTCAGCACGGCACCTGTCAGCGTGGAGAGAAGCAAAATGCAGCCCTCCTGGGATCTGGAGGCAGCTCTGATGGGATCTGGACTCCAGATGTCACCAGGCTGCATCCAGATTCTGTCTATCTGTATTTAGCTCTGGTGAGAAACTGGCCTAAAATCATTAGTCTGTATTGTTTTAGAAAAAATGTCACATGTCCCTTTAAGAAAAAGTATCGGTAATTGTTATCGGCAAGTACTTCTACTTGGTCTTGAAAAAGTGGTGTAGGGATGTTTAGATACCAAGTACCATGCTTGGTACAAGTACAGATACTTTGAGCGCCAAGACTAGACTATAGAAAAAAATCAAAGGTTAGGAGGCAGCGGTAATTTTTAAAGAGCATTGGCTACGGGTCTCCTGAGATTTGTGCAGCCCTGTTTTAATGTATATAATGCACAAATACCATTTTTTTCCAGGCCAATTACTGATAGTTGCCCAAGTACTCTCAGATACAATTACTGATACATTGTTTAGTGTCATGCGACAGTTTTTCTAAAAAACTACAGACCAATTATTTCAGGACAGTGGTGGAGAGCCAGAGCCCAGCTGCAACCCGGGTAATTCTTGTAAAAATGCCAGGTATTGGCACCGATAGTGATATTGGTATCTGAACATCCCTAAATCATAGAATAAGCCCATATTATCAATATGAAGTCAATGTGACAGCAGAGAGCGCACTTACACCACGGAGTCTTCCTGGGCAGATGCCACATGCTGATTTAGGGGCTTTGCCAACCTTCTTGGTGTACAGGTAAACAATTCTGTTTCCTGGTGTTCGGGACCTATAAAATAGGAAAACATTCAATGATTCCCCCACCTTAGGCAGGAACACACATCCAACAGAAACGATTATTGTATACTTACAGCCGGGTCTTATTTGAGGCTGTATTGTAGGACAGCCTGCGACGGTAGGTCAGACGTTGAGCCATTTCTGATGTCTAAATGGTAATAAAACAAAAAAATCAGCTAGTCTTAAAAGAAACATGCGTTCTCATACAATTACTTCACATCCATTTGAAAACTAAACAAGCTGCCTATTAATTGCCGGATCTCCATATACCACTTATAAATCCTCCCAAAACAGTTTAATCTCTATGCAGTACTTTTTACTGAGCCCTCATTCACACTGAAAAAAAATGCATTGTGTGTGTTCTTCGGACACTGAAGCCTGTGGGCCAAAAATGTGGGGTTGTTTTTAACCTTTCGGATAGAGTAAGGAAAGGTTATAACTGAGCGGATTTTTTGCCATCTGTGTCCCATTGGGGAGACTTCTCTTCACATCCTAATAGCCACAGCAGGAAATGAAAGAAAAAGTGAGGGAAATCCCTGGTGGTCAGTGGGGTCACCAGAACTAGTGTCCCTGTTGGAAGATTTCCCCTCTATTCCTGTTCTGATGACTTTCTGTAATAACCAGGACAAGAGAGCATACGTCTCCTTAAAGGTGAACTATGAGGTGAGTGATTTCCATTTTATCTCCCTAGACAAAACGAGCACTTAACCCTTGGAGGTGTGAGGATACCCCCACTGCAAGGGTTAAATGTTTTATTTGCCAAAGGTTCTTTGTGTGTACTGGACTAGTCACTGTTATGTTATACGACAGGCATTTGGAACGTCTTAAGAAGACACAAATATCTGTTCCTTTTTACCATGTGATTGAGTCACATAGAAAGTACAGACACAGGAAAGCAGAACCACAAGGCACATGGCCAGGTTTAGGACCTATTCTCACCAACAGCCCACAGGTGCGTGTCATGGCTGTGCACTGCTAGCACATCGCAGCTCATCTATGTGTAGAAACACATTGTGACATGTTATAGTGTGCTGCATACAATGCAACATGTCAGCAGCAGAAATAACACATAAGGCAAGTTGTCTTGTCTGTGTGTTGGGTTACCTTGACTGTCACAGCCCAATGGGTCTGCATGTAGGCTGTATTCACACTGTTATAGTGGATTAACATGCACTGTGTAAAGGGAGCACATTCAGAACACAGTATAACAATGTGGACCCGGCCTCGGGGGTCATACAATAATAAACCTGCCTCTGGGGTCACCATACACATTACAGTCAACGTTTGATTTACCTTGGATATGCAACATGCAGGCTTCCCTAATCCAGCCAATCAGGCAGGGCCTCACACTACATAGCTGTTGGTAGCTCTAAAGGAGATGTGTGGCGAGATTTAGGCATTCCATGTCACTGTGCACAGATGGGATAAACACGTGATACATGGGATCCAGGCTCAGTACAAGGACTGCTCCATGAAACCAGAGCACAAACTACTCTCTCCCCGGGACACAATCCATGGAAGCCGCCTGTTTCAGGGCCGGATGATGTCTCCCGGCACCACTAACTTCCTCTACCTCCCACCATGGCTAACAATCTAAGCACCAATACAACAAAGGAAACCCCCGTTACACATATACCGGGCCCCCCGAACTCCTCTCTAAGCAGATAACGAGGATTAACGCGGATTGATAACTCAAAGTCCCTCTTGTATAGTGTAATAAGCGGCCATACCTGGTGCCGCCGTCACCGGAAGAGGAAAGAAAGAGGGTGGGATTGAGCCAAGCGGAAGAATTTACGTTCAGCCCGCCCACTTATTCCGAAGCCACTTCCTGCTTAGTCTCCTAAGAGAAGAGCTGCTCATCGTGCTCTTCTACAGAGCCAGGTCACAGCATAGTTTTCATCGTTTCTCTCACCCTGCTTTCCGTGTCATTTATGCACAGCTTTTACCATAGTAGTGAATGCAGCAGCTTGATTAATGGGGCGTTTGCCCTTAACAAACATGGCGGTGCAGTGTGCGCGCAAGCGCCCCGGGCTCTTTACCGTGGTTCTGCTCTTGGGGATGGCACTTCAGAGCAAGTTCGAGGCAGCGCTTCTGTATGATACTCACAAGGATGGGGGTGTGATGGAATTAAAGGGGGGGGGGAAATGGAGCGTTTTCCTGAAAGCAACATGGAGGTGAATTTGCTAAGCCTGGAGCTGTTGTGCATAGCAACCAATCAGCTTCTATCATTTTCAAAGCTTAATTGAACAAGCTGAGGAGAGAAGCTGATTGGTTTACTTTACAGCTCCCCCATTTTATTAACCCCTTCATGACTGAGGCCTTTTTTTAATTTTTTGTACCCATGTTATATTCCACATTTTAGGCCTGAAAATTACTTAAAACCCCCCAACATTATAAAGGGGTTAAATTCCCTCCGTAGAGACTGACTTTTGTTATTCTGCAAATTCTGGATTCCTGTCTTGTTGATGTAAACATCGTGAGGGTAAAACAATAAAAAAGTGTCCGAGACAATCTTTGGAGCACAGTCAATCAGCTTTTAAATACGGTATTCATTTTCCAAGCTATGTGCTAAAAATGAAAGAGGCTGATTGGCTGCTATGAGCAACAGCACCAGTTGAGCTAGAACTTGTCAGAGACACTTTTCCTTTCCAGATCTGCATATTTATTCCAGGTCAGCTCATTGGAAAGTATTGATGCCATTTTGTCAGCGTGACAACCAGGAAACTAGTAATTTTAGCCAGGAGGTGAGCTATGTCACTGATAGTTTTGCACCGAATTAGGCGATCTCAGTTTGTACCAAGCCCATGGCTTCCCTACTGAGGACAAGTCTGTCGATAAGGAAAGGTGGATTGTTGTTCTCGGTCAGTGATGCAACCTATTGAAGCATGAGGCTCGGCAAAGCATCCCACCGATCTTCAGGAAAACAACATTTTCTAGTTCTAATCTTTCACTAAGATGTACGATCCCTGTAGTTAAAGTGACATTAACCACTTGCTGACCGGGGTGTTTACACCCCCTTCCTGTCCGGGCCATTTTTCAATGTTCAGCGCTGCAGTACTTTGACTGACATTTGTTCCGTCATGCAACGCTGTACTGAAATTAATTTTGTACCATTTTTTGGGGTCAGATAGGGCTTTATTTTTGTGGTATTTAATCACCACTACGGGGTTTTTTTTTTTTTACTATATAATGAAAAAAGTACCTGGAAATTTTGAAAAAAACTCTGTTCTCCCTACGTTATATTATAAAACATTTATTATTACACAATTTTTTGGTAAAATATAAAAGGCGGGGTCACGTCGGTTAAATAGACACCAAACATGTAAAGCTTTAAAATTGCGAAAAAACGACCATACCCAAAATTGACCATAGCCGACGCTTTAAAAGCTTTTACCGCTCATATGTTTAGTGTTATCAGTGATTGATGACTCTAGAATTATTGCTCTCACTCCGACGTTCGCGGCGATATGTAACTTGTGCAGCTCAATGGATGTAATCGTCGTTTGCGCACGTAGGTGGACTCGACGCATGTTTGCGTGTGCATGTGGGGGGGGGGGACTTTAATTTTTCTTTATTGCTTTGATATGCGACTTTTAATTTTTTTAAAAAAATTTTAAACGAATTTTTTAAAACTTTTTTTTCACTTAACTTTATTGCTATCACATAGGGAGCAAACAAGCTCCCTATGTGATAGCCAATTTGCAGTGACAGGTCCTCTTTATGGAGACATCAGGGGTCTTTAAGATCCTAATGTCATCTAGGGACCCCCCAGAGAAGCTGATGAAGCAGAGACCTGCTTCACCAGCTTCTCTCCGGTTTCTGTACCGGAGAGTGACAGAGGAATGCGGAAGTGATGTAATACACATTACTTCCTGCATTCAGACGAGAAGATCAAACGCAGATCGTGTACTGATCTCCGGCCGCAGAGCTGCTGTGCTGGTCCCGGGCTCACGCTGGGCTGCGACGGAGGGGGGCGCACACCCGCACGCATATATCAATCGATCAGGCGTCTCTACAGGTGGCTGTTTACATTCAAAGCCGATTTCCTGTTCGTGCGCGCCGCCTAGCGACGGGCACGAGCGGGGCGGGATGGGAAGTTTAAAAACGCCCACCTGCATTCAAGAAGCCGCTGTCCGGCCGTTTAATTACAACGGCCGGTCAGCAGGTGGTTAAAGTCTAATTTGTTTTACTTATATCTACTGGTAGCATGCAGTAGATATATGCAAAAAACATTTGAAAAAATAAAAAAGTTACCAAATAGGTAAAAACTTACCTGTGTCTCTGCCGCTCGCTCGAGCGGCCGTGCAGGAGGATGTGTGCGGGCGCATGCGCAGTGGACATCCCCGGCGGGGAGAACTACAGTGAAAGTCAATGCACGCAGCTGTGAGCATGCATGCTGGACAGACTACATAGGACAGGAAGAGACAGCAGTCTGCTCTGAATCAGAGACCGGCACCCGTGCTGGAGGGATTGCTGAAAACTACAGGAAAGAAGATCGGATCACGAGGCATCATTTAAGGTAAGTGTATACACCAGCATTAGGGGGGAATGGAGGGTTTAATTGCACTTTATTTAGATGCCCGCCCTTTGGAACTGTTTTAAAATTCCTATTTTCTTTTAACAACCTGATATATAAAACTGGGTTTATGAGGGAAGTTATACAAAGGCAATGATACTTTTATTACACATTTTCCCTGTTTTTATCCATACGAAGATTCTGTTTGCTTTTACATGACAGTTGGCTTTGGGTGATGCCACTAAGCTTATTGTTATAGTGGAAGTGAAGTAAAAAAAAATGTTGACCAGCCAGCTTTCTATCACAGAAGAGACTGTTGCAGAAATCCCAACTCTCCTGGGAGTCTCCCACTATTAGATAGCGGCTCCCGGCCGCCCGGGTGAGAAACATTTTCTCCCGGAAAGATTTACTCTGCTCGATCTAGCAGCAGCTGTCAGAATACAAAAAAAAACCCACAGCAGATAGCAAAGAAGCTATTGCTTCCTGTGCTATCTGCCATCATGTCATGGGGGGCGCACCTCCCTGAAATGAGAAGGGCACCTCCCTGAAATTGCTGTTTTCAGGTTGGGATCCCTGCTGTTGTCTTTTCTGTCATATAGTTTCTAGCTTACTATTAGGAATTTTCTGCACATACGCAGCTCAGTGCACAGGCTTGGCATCCTGGGATGTGCATCAAGCACATGCAGAGGAGTTACACCGATGAGGCCCAGACAATCAGCTGTCCGAAGACTAGAAACAATCTCAATACAAATTAGTAAACTAAACATGAGATTGTAGTCCATCATAGGAGTGATCTTGGAGCTGTGCCTACTGTTCAACACACACAGGGACCATAGGGAAGAAAAGTAGCCACTCTCCAGTAGGAAGGGCAGTGTCAGCACCAATTCAGAGATGATTTGAGGGTCTACACCCGAGTGATACACAAATAAGATACATTGTTGTTAAAAGCTCTTGAATACATTTTTAAGATTTAACTCCCAAGTTTATTGTCCCTATAAATGTTAAAAGTTGAGGCAGGAGGAGGGAATTGCTTTAGGAATTGCTTTGGTATTAAAGGAGAACTATGGGGTTTAGGCTTTTCCCCATAGTTCTCCTTAGGGTAATGGGAGGACACAAACTAGCGTCCTCCCGTCACCCTAAGCTCAGTATACCGCGAGCTGTACCTCGTGGTATACTGAGACGCCGCAGGTATACTGAGACGCCGCATCTGAAGCTGATCCCGACAACTATGCAGGGATCCGCCCAGCTGCGTGACTGACAGCTGGCTCTGCCTACCTTTGGAAATGTTTAGTAATAGCAATCTACACACACATACTTCTAGGTAATTGCCGGCATTGCATTCTTTGCATACCTTATTTCTCTTTTCTTTCCCAGTCTTCTGACAGTGGCCATGTTTACTAAGGGCAGATTAAAAGCTCTCCTATTACTTCCTTGATTTCTGGCACATGCGACAAAGACATGTGACCATGCACATCATCTCAGGGGAGGAAAATGCCTTTCCCTGAGATCTTGAGAGATTACAGATGAGATTTCCCAGCAATGCTCTGCTGATGACAAGACAATCCCAGTGGGCATTTTGTTGGCAAACTGAAGTCATTTTGCCCTTTCAAAGCAGGAAGTGAATGCTCTGCAAGTGTAAGTATTTCAAAATCCCAGCATTTTACACCTGACACATCTACATAGAAGGGTGCATTGGTAGAATTTGATTTTTGAACGATAATCGTAAGGTGTATGTGCACCTTTAGACTTTGCTAGGAAAATCAGACAACAAGCAATTATCTGTAAAACTTTTGTTTAGCATTACAATGGTACCGTACGCAAAAACAAACATTTAATCCTTCCAGTACGGGGGAGTCCCCTGCAAGGGTAGTTTTGAAATGTTTCAGTTATATCACCATGGGCACAGTTTTAATCTCTAATCTAGCAGAAGATCATGATCAGGTTTGCATGTAGTTTATTAATGTGAACATGTCGCTGTGCCGCAACTGCTTTCACTTAATGTTTAAGCGGAACTTTAAGCAGATATAAAAGACACAAATGAATGCAGTTCATTAATACATCATTACATTTTTTTTTAATGCAAGGAGTGTAGGTACATGAATTTGACTTATTAACTTCTTGCAATCCCCTGTATAATAGAGCTCAGAGTGGAAGAAGAAGCAGCAGCATAATGAGCCAAACAAGGAACATGCTAATAGGAGGACAAAGCAGAGTGACAGAGAGATGAGCCCACCCAGGGCTCAGA